TTTGAGAAACGATGTACAAATGCGCTTTACACAATTGATGTGTGTATGGATTGGGATAACAGTTGTATGAGCCCCTAATAAAATGTTAAAAAAAAAAAAAAAAAAAAAAGCTGGTAATCTGACAATATTGAGAATTAAAAAAAAAAAAAGAAAGAAAGTACATCCTACATAGCTGATATTTACATGACGATTCATAACAATAGCAAAATTACGGTTATGAAGTAGCAATGAAAATAATGTCATGGTTGGGGGTCACCACCACATGAGGAACTGTATTAAAGGGTCAAGGCATTAGGAAGGTTGAGAACCACTACTTTAAGCAAACTAAGGCATCCGTTGAACATAAGCGAACTGGATAAGATCCTGGATTTGACATCAAGCCTGTTAAAGTCAAGGCTAGTCCCAGGTCCTCCTAACCAAGACCAACAATACAGCCTCATGTTCCAGGGGGCTTCGAACAGTGTGCGCAGAAGCTAAATGAAAAGGTGCAGCATTGTCCTCGGTCTGTTCAAAGCCCCCTCCTGTCTTCAGTGCTTGTCCCTTTGGAAAACATGTCCCCTCCGTTTTCTTTGCCAGCGCTTTCCACACTGTGCTTGTCATAACCCCGTCACCACCACTACTGAAAGATAAAGACAATGTCCGGAGCTCTATGCTCTTAAGATGGCCCACGCTGTCTGTGCTCATCCACTAACTGGAAGGCTGGTGGTTTGCGGCCAACCAGCAGTGCCATGAAGAAATGGCTGGTGGTCTGCTTCCTTCATAACCGGCCAGGAAAACCCCATGGCGTGGTGCCACCTGAGGGTCCCATGGGTCAGCGTGGACCCGCAATGACAACAGGTTTATTCGCATGGGTGGGTGTGTGATCTCGGGGAGAAACATTCTGAACGGGGAGGAAGGAGGGGCTGATTTTCTGGTAAGGTGGGCGAAGGCTTCCAAGCGGAGGTGACATGGGATTTGGCCTTGATGGTGGGCATTCCTGGCAAAAACATGATAGTGTGTCCTGCTTGGCATGGCATGTCCTAGAGCAAGCAAGGCAGAAGAGCCAGGTTGGAGCCATCTGGAGAGTTTAGGCTCTACTCCTAGTAGAGGCTCCCTGTTGAGAAGAGTAGGCCAGGCCTGGAGCTGCTGACTGGCATGGTGACCACCCTCCGCTGTGAGCACTGGACATCCAGCTCGGGTGACTGAGGACCCGTGGATCTCACTTAGTGGATTTAACCTCAACCCTGACACTTGGGTCTGCACTGGGTGCCAAAGTTGAATTAAATGGCATTCTATGATGCTCACCTTCCCGAAACAACCGCTGAAGACAAAGTGGGTGAAAAAGCAAATGTGGTGAAGAAAGCTGATGGTGCCCGGCTATCAAAAGATATAGCATCTGGGGTCTTAAAAGCTTGAAGGTAAACAAGCGGCCATCAAGCTCAGGAGCAACAAAGCCCACATGGAGCAACATATCAGCCTGTGTGATCACGAGGTGTCGAATGGATCACTGAAGACAAATGGGTGCATAAGCAAATGTGGCGAAGAAAGCTGATGGTGCCCAGCTATCAAAAAGTATAGCGTCTGGGGTCTTAAAGGCTTGAAGGTAATCAAGCAGCCATCAAGCTCAGAAGCAACAAAGCCCACATGGAAGAAGCACCCCAGCCTATGAAACCACGAGGTGTCGAAGGGATGAGGTATAAGGCATCATCAGATCAAAAAATCTTACCATAGTGAATGATGGGGGGAGTGCGGAGTGGAGACCCAAAGCCCATTAGTAGGCCACTGGAGATCCCCTTGCAGAGGGGTCTTGGGGAGGAGATGAGCCAGTCAGGGTGCGATGTAACAACGATGAGAAATACAACTTTCCTCTAGTTCCTAAATATTTCCTCCCCGCTCCCACTACCATGACTCGAATTCGAACTTGCAAGTCTGGCTAGAGCAGAGGATGTACACTGGTACAGATAGGAACTGAAAATACAGGGAATCCAGGGCAGATGAGCCCTACAGGACCAGTGGTATAAGTGGCAAAACAGGGAGGTTAGAGGGAGAATGGGTAGGAAAGAGGGAACCGATTACAAGGAACTATATGTGACCTCCTCCCTGGAGGACGGACAACAGAAAAGTGGGTGAAGGGAGACGTCGGATAGGGCAAGATATGACAAAATACCAATTTATAAATTATCAAGGGCTCATGAGGGAGAGGGGAACGGGGAGGGGGGGGGAAAATGAGGACCTAATGTCGGAGGTTTAAGTGGAGAGGAAATGTTTTAAGAATGATGTACAAATGTGCTTTACACAATTGATGTGTGTATGGATTGTGATAAGAGTTGTATGAGCCCCTAATAAAATGATTTAAAAAACAAAAACAAAGTTGAATTAAAACATAACGGAGCCATCCAACAACTTTATGAGACCCCCCACCCCTAGTATTTCCAGTGCTTGTAAGTCTGCGTGAAACCCAGAACCCATCTTCAACTGTGAAGTAGGCAATCTAAATTCAGAAGCAGCATGGACCATCAGGGCACAGGAGTCGGACACTCTGGCTGTGAAAGGCGAAGAAAGAATGTGTAGTATATAGTTTGTTGCAAACTGTTTTCTATTGATGGCATGTTGCGATGGGACGATTTCAGATGTACTGGCTTAAATAAAAACATACTAAAATTAAATCCCACCTGTTTTCCCCATGGCCACCACTTTTTAAAACCATGGCTGCCAACCAAAGAAGCCCAGTTGTCCTCCTGCAGAGCGGCAGCGGCTCAGGGTGGACGACTCCACAGGCTCTTCAATGGCTGGGATCCTTCATGAGCAGATCACAGGGCCTGCCTCCCAAGAAGCCTCTGGGTGGGTTCAAACCTGCTGCCCGCAAGCTTTTCAACTAGCAGTCTGACCTTAACCATGTGCTCCACCCTGGACTTTCCTGTGCCTTCTACATTTGACCCGTGGTTGCCTTCTGTTGCTTTTTTCTCTCACTTTATTTATTTTAAATCATTTTATTGGGGGTGGGTACTACTCTGATCACAATCCATCCATCCATCCATCCATTGTGTCCAGCACATTTGTACGTTTGTTGCCCTCATCATTCTCAAAACATTCTCTTTCTACTTGAGCCCTTGGTATCAGCTCCTCATTCTTTCCCCTCCCTGCCCCACTCCTTCACAAATCCTTGATAATTTATAAATTATTATTTTGTCATGTCTTACACTGTTCAACATCTCCACCCACTTTTCTGTTGTCCATCCCTCAGGGAGGGGGTTATATGTAGATCATTGTGATCGGTTCCCCCTTCCTGCCCCACCTTCCCCTTACCCTTCTGGTATTGCTACTCTCATTATTGGTCCTGAGGGGTTTATCTGTCCTGGATTCCCTGTGCTTCCAGTTCTTATCTGTACCAGTGTACATTCTGGTCTAGCAGGACTTGTAAGGTAGAATTGGGATCATGATAGTGGGGCGGTAGGAACTAGAGTAAAGTTGTATGTTTCATCGTTCTACACTGCACCCTGACTGACTTGTCTCCTCCCCATGACCCTTCTGTAAGGGGATGTCTAGTTGCCTACAGATGGACTTTGGGTCTCCACTCCGCATTCCCCCTCATTCACAATGATATGATTTGGTTGCCTTCTGTTTCTATTGGACACAGTGCCGACCATTCATTTGCAACTGGAAACCCCAGGCACCCACACTTTGAAATGCCCGTCCAATGACTGATGTGGTGAGTAGGGATCCCGCTCTGAGGAATTCTGCTCTAGAGCCTTCCCTGTGGCTATAGCAGAGACTGGGTGGGAGGGTCTGGGTCAGCCTGGGTGCAGACTCCTCTCAGGGTAGACAATGTCTTCCGAGAGGTCCCTTTCAAGACAGTACCCTCTGAGATGCCTGCTCCCGGCCAGTGGACCCAGGGCGGTCACTCAGCTTGGCGGCCGAGCCTATAAATGCTGGCCAGAGCTCTGAGTAGTGTGTGTCTCTGTGTGTGTATGTGTGCGGGGACGGGGATGGGGAGTCGCCTGCTTTTCTGGAAGCCACCACCTGGAGATGAGCCTCATGCCCACTGTGGAGACCGCAGGAAACACACACACACACACACACAC